AATAATACGAATATAAAGATTATATAAAGTGTAATTCAATGATCATTATTTGCAATTAAACATAAAATATATATATATTTTAAATTATAGCCTGGTTGTACAATTTTGTGCCCGTTGTATACAATATAATTTTATTTCTATATAAAAGTTTAAACGCCGCTTTAATACTTAAGCTATCACCGTACTCAGAACATATATACTATACACATACACATATGTATGCATCTCTACACGACTACAATTCACTAATTATTATGTACAGTTGTGAAATATTTCGATGTAGGAAATACGTTTAATCGGGCTGAGAGTTAGAGCATATACATATATACTGCTGAAGGCAATTTCCACATGTGTCGAGTCGAAAGTAAAGAAGCTGTAAAAACAGAGTAACAGAGATATAATTACGATGGCCATACTTTTGAGAGCGAAATCGGGGACAAAGAAAAGTGGGAATTATAACAACACGCAAACAACAACAAAAAAATTCTTGTATTGGATTATTTCATAAATTATTAATTGAAAGAAAGAAAAAAATTGAATAAAAGGAAAGAACAAGAAACAAAAATAAAGTCTTCATGACGTAANGCAAAAAACTCATTTTTATCTTTTTTTGTTGTTATATAATTTAACATAAATATTTGTACATCCCATATTTCTGAAAAAGATTTCGGGAACAGGCTGCTGAAATACAAAACAGCAATTGACAGACATGCTGTCGTTTTCTCGCAGCATTAGCCACGGATCTTTTCTCTTTCGTTTTGCTTTGAATATCAAATCCTTACTGGAAAGTATATGGTCATCTTTGGGTATTTTACAATTTAAAATACAACACTTATTCGGCATGTCTTATAAGCATTAATAACGATGAATTGGAGGATTATTTAATTATATAATCATGCTTGTCAGTAAGTGATTTGAAATTCAAAGCAAGTCAAAGGAGTAAGATTTTGGTCAATCCCATGCTGTGAGAAAAGGACAGCATGTGTGTATGTATGTCATAGCTTTCTCTGCATGTGCATACCAGAGATGAAAAGAACAAAGAAATGAGCAATCTCCCTTTTCATCTCTGGTGCATACCTCTCTCTTTCTACGGTTTCTCTACATTCTTGACTCAATACATGTGGGTGGAAACTGCCTAATCAGTATGCCACTAGATGGCTATTACGGCTATTATACATTATAACACCGTGGTGTAAAATCAAAATAAAGTTCCAAGTAAATCAGTTTCAATAACTAATTATAACTGTCATTTATTTATAATTCTCGAGTGACGAAACATAACTTTACTCAAATATATTGTTTTCATTTGCGATACGAGCATCAGGTATATACCAAGTTTTACCGAATGTAACCTGTTAGAATAGTTGTGAAATGATAACGAAATATTTATTTAACAATGCAGCAATGGCATCTACGTGCATGGTTATCACTCGGCAGATTTCATCGTCGTCAGTATGCCATGGTAAACGGAATTTTCGAATGATTCAAGTTTACAATAAACGAGGCAGTCGGCAATTCAAAGAGGAACGAAACAAAAATCCGAAGAACTTTGATATTCCTATTGACAGTATGTACTTTTAAATTCCTTTATTTATACATAGATGCAAAAGTAGATTGTTGAAATGAATATGAAAAACATTGGTGGTTGTATAATTTTCAGGAAGAGGAGTCAAGGCTACAGGTATGTGGGTACAAGATAGATGGGTTAATGTACCAGAAATGATACCTGAGATTGTAGTTCCTTCCTTGAAAGATTTCCACTTAAAACCGTATGTCTCATACAGAACTACAGATGTTGAAAGACGTGAATTTACTGCTCAAGATTTGTTTGATGTAGTTTATTCTGAAAAAATTAGGACAGATTTTAAAGCAGGCCAATTAGATTCAGATGGACAACCACTGAATCCTAGCGAAGATGAAAAACTAACATCTGAGGAAGCTAGGATTAAAGCTGAGCAAACTGGTTGTGATTTGTTCCAACCGGACAAGCTTCCACCCAAACTTTTTTAAATAATGATCATTAGTTTAGTAAAAATAATTTGTACATTGCTGAAGGAATCTGTTAAACTGGATATAAACAGAGCGTAACTGGGTTTATCTTAAAATAAAGACTAGTGTTCATAGTTCGCATGTTTTATTCAATATGCTCATACGCACAATGCATACACTTGTTAACATTTTTGCAATTTATGAACAGTAATTATTTACCATCACGTATCCATTGAAGAAAAATCATATATTAATTTCGTACAAAATATTTAATTGATTGCAAATACAAAAGCAGACTTTTCAATTGCGATACTTCTTCGTTATTATCGATTTCACGTTAGTATAAGATATCTTTTTAACACGTCGTTGATTGACGGTAAATAATTACTTTACAAAGTACATGTACATGTTGGATAGTTAATCGCCAAATAATTTCATGTCGCGTAACATTCGTGGGCGTTTTTACCGCTAGTAAAAACGACGCAAAGTTCAACGGTACCTCGGTAAAATGCAGTTGTTTGACGGTAAATTACACATTTAAAAAGGATGCCTATCTCATGCAAGTTCGAATCTATCGTTTAAAAAAAGACACAAATGGAAATACATATAGCAGTGCCAAAAAATTGATTTTCAATTCCTGAGTTGCTTTTGAAACTGTTACATTTTTTTTCTCCGGAATGCCTTTTTCAGGACAATTATGACGGAACAAGATTTCGTATGATTTACGCTAACTTAACGGCTACTTGTTTTTACTTATTAAAAGACTCTTTGAGCGAAGTTTGATTGTTTTTTGTCGGGTAAAAAATGGCGGAAAATCTGAATATTAAAGTCGTTGTCAGTTGTGCGCGGCCGGTATTGCTTTCTACTGACTAGACTACCAGAATCTAATAATATATTTGCTCTAAAAAGTGCTGTATTCGTATCAAAATGTACAAATATGGTTTCAAGTTATTATCGGTTTACGTACTTCCCCTTTTCACTCGAATAACAATTGTGCAAATGTTCATAAAACAAATTTGTCCCTTCGTTCCGAGTGAAATGATAACTTTGTACTACCGTTTTCGCGAAATTTATTATCATCAACTATTGATTGCAATTTATATTTCGTATAGAAAATGGTAACATATACAGAATGCACAATCAGAAACGTGAACAGTCATTGTTTTCGTTTAATTATTATTATTATATATATATATGTATATATAACAGTTTTTATTGTTTTAAACGTTTTTACAGAATGCAGCACTTTTTTAACTTCTTCAACAGCAGCTACTATTTATCACTATTTATTGTTTTATTATTATTATTATTATTATTATTATTATTCCTTAAACCGCTATAACGATCATAATGAAGAGTGGAACGTTGAAACATTTCGTTTTTGTACAACATCGTTAGAATCGTTATTAATAAAAACGTATAACAAAAAACTGTAACGCGATTTCGTTTCTTCAGTAACTCCACTCTTCAATAAATTGTATAGAAAAAGCATAAGTGGCATAATTCTTGCACTTATTCTATTAAACTTCATCTCAAATCATTTCTGCGGATTGATAATCGCCTCGTGATTTCCTTATTTATTATATCGTTATTTGTGACACATATCTCCCATTTAATTTGTTGGTTTCCTAAATTTTATTCAGAATTAAATGTTTCATTGTTAATTTATTTGTTCTAAAGGTGAAGTTATCGAGTTTATAACTCAATTGATGAGTCTTAGTACTTTCAATCGCATTAGATTAAAACATCGTGAACATAATATGTACACGTTGCTATGATTGTGTATTAATTTACTGAAATGTATTCAGGAAGCACGTTAAAAGCACTGCCCGCTAATTATTATTAAAATATGCGCGAGCATACACGTTGTACTTCGAATTAAACATAGCCATCGTCAAGCAAGACATATGCCACTTGCTCATGAATGTAAACTCGGTTTGGTGTTGTCCTTTGTTAATTATCAGTCTATGATATAATTGGATATTTGACTGATAAATTATATCAGCCAGATAATAAGGCAGGCGGGCATGCTACTAGATGACAAAGATTTTCAATAACGTTACATTTCGTAATGTACGTACGGTGGTATGCGTAATTACCCCGTGATTGAGATACACGTGTGAAGGTATAAAGATATGTGGAAAATACGATGCTCGGAACATACGTATCCGGAGAAAACGAAGAAGAACGAGTCTTTGGCATTTAGTAGTATGTACCTTCCGTTTTCTTTTTTCCTTTTCTTTAAATTAAAGATTTCGCGTATGAAAGCTAGAGTACCACGGAGGAAACGGGTCTACAAAGAAATTTATACAACATTCCCTTTGGATACTTAGAAAATACGGATATAATAAAATACACAATTATGTAAATAAAAAATACTGATATGGAAAGACTAGGAAGGCAATACTGCTTATTGTATTCGTCTTTCTACATTTCTAGTCTTTCAGACTCAAAACCTCCAACGCTAAAAGTACACAACAGGGTATGATTGGTATGGTGTTCATTCCATCGGATCCCCAACGTTTTCGAAGATGGTCGAATGAGGGTTGCTTCCAGTGGGCCATAAGAAGCCACCTACACTGCCAGGTGGCAAATATGATGCTCCACCGGTGAGGCCCACCTGATATTATTTTCTCCTTTGAATTATTTACATTTTGCGTGTGACATCCGTGTTGTCAGTAATACTTTTGTACAACACGTTAATGAAACAAAACTCTAGGAAGCCAAATAAGGGAAAGGTGCTACAAACATTATATGCATTTTCCAAGCTTGTTTCAAGTGTATAACGGTATTGTTTGAGGGTTGCCCAATTAGGGGTAGTTTCGTGCTAATTTGTGACGGTACCTTGAGTTGCGTGATTGTCAGTTCATGTACCGGTGCATATATACCGTGGTGTTGTCGTTGTTTCATATTGTATACTTGACAGGCAAGTAACTATTTCAAATTGTACTGCACAGTTATCAAAATGGAATCGCATCTCGTTCGGATATTTATTTAGGATATAAACAGTAATCGATTGTCTTTTGTTAACTGTACATCGAGACGTACAATCGAGGGTTGATTACATGCACGAAGTAAGGCAAAACAGAGTGAACAATAAATTGCCAAATTAAAGAAAAATAATTGTTTATTTGCATCTAACACAAATAATTGTGCTCTCGTATCACAAGTAACGGCTAACTCGCTAAACGTCATAAACAATACTAATAATATTTACATCGATTCATTATTGTGAACATGATACACGCTCACAACAATGTTCACAATTATGAAAGGAATAAGTAACACGATTACTCTTTCTATCACGTTCGATTTCGAATCTAGGGTGTACGCAATTTTGGCACAATTCAAATTATCTTCAAAAGAGCAATGACATGACGATCGTTGGATAAACACCAATGAGTTATTTGATTTTGTTTTACGATCCGATAACCGATTACTTTCTTTTCCATATCAGACAGTTCAGTCCAAATTGATCTTTTGAAATTTCTATAGAATTACCTGTTGGCTCCACAACAGTGTCCTTTCTGCTAACTGACAGTCGGCTGCCAGTCGAGATGGCAGACTTTTCCATCTTTCTTCATCTCGTTTTCTTTCTCTATCAAAGTCTCTATCAACGTGTCCCTGAGATAAAGGCGGTAGGATCTGTGTTCTTTGAGCTAGCTTATAACTGTCTTGTCTCGGTACGTGGTCGCTCCGTCTAATCGTTGCGCTCCCGGTTGCTGATACGATCGGGGTCGGACTCCCTCCGCCTCTGTGTCTATGGTATAAGTTTCGTTTCTGTTGCAACACTCGCTGCTGCACCAGCAATTGCAATTGTGTGCTGGAGTCGCCACGAATTTTGAACTGTGAATTCTCTGGTGGTGTAGAAGGCGGTCTCAAATGAACAAGATCTAAATGGCCTCTAGCTTTCCCGGAATCTGTACAGTAAAAAGTGACGGGAGACGATTACGATCAAGGATATTTAAAAGTTAAGAGATCGTGAATATTCGACTGTTTGCGTTCTAGTACCTTGAATACTCCGCTGTTTGGTCGGCCTGTCCCCGCCACCCTGTTGACAAAATAATAATCTGGGTCCACCGTCGGATGCTCTACGCCCTTGAGAAGCTCTGGATATTCTACCAGTTATCGGCGATGGACTCATGGGTGGCGGAGGCGTGCAGGAGGGCAAGCTACTCGTGAATGAATTTGCCGCTGAGTAATCCGGCGGGCAGCCAGAGTCAAAACTCGATTCGAAAAGTTCGGACGATGAACTACCACTACCGCCCGCGATGAACAGCGTTCGACTAGGAGGATCAATAGAATCCATAAGAGGCGTATCAAAATGATGTTGGTAGTCGCTTAATCTCCGATTGACTATTTGACTGTCAATTCGTTGGCTGATGTCATGATCTAGGCCTAATCTATGCTCTTCTAGTTTAATCTGAGCCTCTCTCAATTCATCGCTGCTTGGACCTTCCTCCAAATCGCCTTCCGCGCTGCAACATCCCTCGTCAGTCGAGGAACTGGTCGAACTAAATCTTTTTCCCCCTCGAGTCGCATCTTCTCTTGTTCTACAAACAAACGTACGCAATACAGAATTAATTTTTATTACATCGATTGTTCGATAAATATTGTTGTGGCGACGGATGGATGATTTTCAATTATGAAAACATCTTTTCACTGGATTCTTGTCTTTCCTACGTGCTCTGTCATCTTACTCGATCGTACATGTTTAAATTGAATTCGTAAAATAACGAAAACCGTATAATGCGTAAATGTAGAAACAAGGCGTAAGCACGCGTTCGATGGTAAGAAATTGGAAACGAAATAAAAAGAAAGCAATGAAATAAAAATTATAGAATTACCAAAAATAAAGTGACAGCAAAGCGCTTCCAATCCAACCTGTCCTGACAAAATCTTCAATACATGCGTCACCGTCAATAAAGATCAACGTCCCACTAAGCTATCGCTGGAAACAAAAATTGCATGATTAAAATTTGAGTCTTGATAAATTCTATCGACGGGCAGGATTGGAAGTGAAGTAGCACGTACATTACTAAATGACAATCACTAAAAAAGAAGTCGAAAGGAAATGAGAAGGGTATATACCTTGATTTGAATTTGTCATCCTTTGCTCTCGTAACGCCGGGCCAGCACGCATTGTTTGCTGTGTTGCTGACACGATGTTGCTTCAATCTTTCTAACAGTAAGAAATAAATAGCAGCGTGATGATCGTAACTGCTATTCCTTAGTGACTGTAACAAAGGAATACGGAACAGCTGTTTTAAAATACTGTCTCTCAGTATTATTCTATTAATTTAATATCGCGTATTGAAAAATACCTCTCTAGTTCGTGTGATATCTATGCCTAAACTATGCATAAGTCGCAGTATTTGTTCGTTTGGTTCTTGGATGGACGATGATGGTCTCGCTATGATCATTGAACAAATAGTATCCGCAGATCCGGCCATCCAACGATGTCTCTTTATTTGTGGAATGGTGTATCTTTTTGCTGGTTCCAAAACTAACATCTTACGTATTAAGCTTTCGCAATCTAAGAGAGAAATTGGAGTTCTTTCAAATCACACGAAATCCTGTATCAAACGTTTTTCGAATTCTCACTGGCCGTAGATAATACCTGTGCTCATAAAGTATGGAATTCGAAATCTTCCGCTGAGAACGCGATCTCTTAAAGATTGAAGAGTAGATCCGTCAAAGGGCAGTGCTCCGCATACTAATACATACAGTACAACGCCTAAACTCTGCAAAAATGAAGCCGTAACGTGTTAAGCCATCCCCATCGGATACGTTGTATCATTTTATGAGCACGCGTCAACTGCTTACCCACACATCAATCTCGGGACCAGCGTAGTGTTTCCCTCTAAAAACTTCTGGCGCCGCGTAGGGCGGACTACCGCACCATGTACTCAGTCTCTCGCCAGGAGTAAATCTATTACTAAAACCGAAGTCAGCGATCTTAACGTTCATCTGAGCATCTAAGAGTAAGTTTTCAGCTTTGAGATCACGATGCGCTACACCGGTCGCATGGCAGTATTCAACCGCGGAAAGTATTTGAGCAAATGTTGCACGAGCTCTGGGTTCTCCCATTCTCCCATATCGTGCAATATAGTCAAATATCTCACCCTTACTTGCGTACTCGCATACCTAAGCAGAAACCTTTGCTATGACTTGAATTTTCAATGAGCTTTCGTTCGAAAGAAATTTATTCGTGCGTACCATATATATCATATTCTTCGTTTCCATCACTTGATACAATTTAACAATGTGCGGATGTTCCAATTGCTTCATTATTTCCACCTCTCTGTAGACTTTCTCAAGATTGGTAGGATCCAGCTGAGTTTTATCGATTATTTTAATAGCCACCTGAAAAAGAGCGCCGAGCTATGTCAATCAAAGAATATTTCAAAGCTAATGCATACGGTTTCGAAAAATACCTCTGTCTTGGTAATACGGTGCCTAGCTAATTTTACCACCGCAAAGTTCCCTTTGCCAATGGTGCCTTCGATATCGTAAAATCCTACGCGAATTTGTTTCTTCCCTTGTCCCACGCTGGAATCCATATTTATTAAAAAATTTGTTTATCGACGAATAATTTCAGATGATTGTTCCTCCTCTAATTGTATTGTACAGTTATCCGAAATTTCTGAAAGCAGAAGGAGAAACGGCACCGTGAAGCGTCAGACGCGGCTCATTCTACTTACAGTAGAATAGTCTTATTATACAATTTATAAAGTTCCCCTGCTTCTAATTCTACAATACATCGTACAGTTCCGTCACGTGCGTAGACATCGAACCGAGAAAGCGTTTCCGAAATAAGAGTATTTTATTACGATACGTCGATCGAAATAATGAATATTCTGCAGCGTTCATGGAACCGTTCACGCGGTCGTGCTCGCGTCGCGTACGGACGAGCCAAAGTCCCTGCGTCGTCATTCCGGGGAAAATGGGGAAAAGGGAGGAACATTAAAAGCGGAGGGAGGTCTGCACGAGCAAAAAAGCTTCTTTACAAAAGTGTAAAAGCTTCCTGCAACAAGTACAATAGGTAGTCACGACTGACGTCACAGATCGACAACGACCTCTTGCATATCGACGGGTCCAGGGATCGATAGCCGTCGATAGTCCTCGATAGGACGATAAAAGAATAATAAAAAAAGCACGGTGGTGACAAAAAGGCCGGAGCGAAGAACGGCGAAGGCAAACTGCAACGAATACGTCGTCGTTTACGCCCACGAGCGGGACATCAAAAAGCAGCACGATCTGTATATAGTGGAACGAGTCAATGACAAGTGCCTCCGGTGTCTTTACTTACATTCGATCCGTGCTCCGAAATTCGAATTACCGGGTACACCGCGTCGCGAGCCGGTGGAACCGTTCCTGATGCGATTGTAACGCGCTGGCACTGCCGACCTCGACGGGTGCGTAAGGTCGGAGAGCCGATGCCATCGGTAAGAGGTCGTCCTTCGCGTTCACGAGATTCCGAAATCTCGTTTTTTATTCAAGCGGCGGCGTTCCTACGACACAGCGAGTCGTAGGAGCTTCGCGTAATGCGGCGGTTCGATACCGACTGACCGACGGCCATGTTGCTACCCCCCTGCTATGTCAGAGTCGTCGGCACCGCACTCCGCTGCGTCCCTCACTACCACCCTCACCAGTTTCACTTGTCTACGTTCCCAGCCATTCTTAGGCGAACTGTACCACCACCATCTCACCTCCACCCTCGCACGTAGTTTCTACCCCCACCAGGGCATCACCACCACTGTTACGAAACCCGAGCGCGCACGCGAACGCGCGCGCGAGACCGCACCACGTTATCTTCGACAATTGACGTCAACGTATGTACGTGCTACTATCGTCTCATCGTTAATTGTTCCTGGGTGTAATTGCAAGGTAAATAGCTTGCGCGGCACCACGTGGTCCCGGCTAGCTGCGGGCATCATTATCATCGTACTCTTTTTCTCTTTCTCCCACTCCCCTCTCGTTCTCGCCTCCGCCGAGTGATTTTTTTTTCCGCTCGTTGATAAAACGGCCGCCGGCCGTATGTGGTATGTACTTACTTGCATACCGTGCAGCGTAAATACGCCGCCAACACAATTCCACCCGTTGTTTTAACGAGATTCCGCATAGTTCGCGACTATATATAAAGAAAGAAACCGGGCTATAGCCGCTCGGTGTAGGTGGTACGCGATGCTGGTTTTTGATATGTTACGGTCTCAAGGAAATTTCATGCGCGATCACGAACTCGTCCAACGTGATTCTATTTTACGTTCTGCGACTACGAATACGTAGTTGGTCGCGTTTGACGGATGATTATATAAAATTACGTTGGTCTATTTTCAATTTGTGTTATCTGGATAGATAATTCCTTACGAGGAACGGCCATCACATGCGGCTTCACGATCGTCCGTCATCGACGATCGTAGATAATTAATTCCAGTAAATACTGGTAAATTTTGTTTTTATTTTTATTTTTTGCCTAAGTAATTGACGTCAAACCTGAGTTTTCTACCGTAAGCAGTTTTTAACGACAAGTTACGTGTTTCACAGATTTTATCGAGATCAGTCGTTTATTTCCGTGGTACCAGGAGCGAGAAATCGATTTTCAAACGGAAAAAAGCGGCTGGTTGCGTTTCGTGAAGACGCGCATTCCGTTCGATTTGGGGTAGGTCAGTCTACGTACGCGTCGTCCGATTACTTTTATTTACGATACAAGTACCCGTTATCGAAGTATGGACAAATGTAAACGAATGATGGAAATTCGTTGATTAGATATCGGAGTATCGATTCGCCGATGATGTTCCACTTGCGGATTCTCATTGTATCACGAGTATTTACGAGCGAGTCGACTGGTTTTTCTTCGCGCGTCCGTCTCGTCTAATATTAATGGAAACCTGTTACCCGCGAAAATTTATTATTCGTCTACAATAAATGCATGCGTTCGTACCGCGATATGAAATAGTAAACTATTTTTAAACGCCTGTACGAACGTCATAAATTGGCATTACGTGAGTTTTGCTAATCTGATATTCATAGGGCTGTGCTTATACTTGTATCAGTTTCCTCGACGTTATTTGAGACGAATCAACCTGCGTGCAACCGCGCGCAGAAACTCGGCTGCGTTTTTAAACGTATCAACGCGATCCGGCAAAAACGTGACAATCACTCGTGCGTGTTCCTATTATAAAAAAAGATACAAATATATGCGCGTACGAAAATGATAATAACGTTCGTATCGCATTTTCATCAGCCAGCGTATTCGCCTTTTGTATTCATACCCAACGTTGATGAATTTACGATAAGCTCTATACTTAGTGCTTTCATTTACAGATACGCGATTGACGTATCTATTTTGTTTCGTTAATCTCCTTGCTTTTTCAGTATTCAATAGTCTCTAGCAATTTTGCTTAGACACTGTATTCCGGTGATCAGTAGTTTCTCGACGTGAAAATGAAATATTCATGAACGCCGATATAATGTATTTATCGCGTGTTAGGTAAAGGTTACACGAGAGATTTTCCTGTGTAGATGTAGGGATGCATTTAATAACGTCGTGCCTCCGAAGTTCCATACGTTCGTACCTCTCCGCACGTTCCTGGACGTTATTACGTCTGTAATAATTTAAAGCGAATCGGCCGTGCATAATTTTCAGCCGGTTACGCCTACAATCGCCGTAGTTCACCGGCAAAAATCTTTATCTGAATGACGGATAACGATAGATAATGACGGGTAATAGAATGAAAATTACCAGCCTACGATTCACGTCGTCATTGGCGGATTGGCCGAGTTTTTATTTAATAAACACGTCGACGGATCATTTTTTTAATCTAAGTAATCGTTTCGCAGAAAGAGAAGCGGGTTATATATTTTTTGTACGGATAAAAATAAACCCGAATAAATTCTATCCTGTTTCACGGTCCCGTGACGCGGGCTCTAGTCTAGCCAAAAGAATTTGGTCTGTTGACGGTCGTTCTAGTTAAGAATAATTATCTCCCGACCAACGTTCATAAGCGCATGCTTTAATTAGCTTTGCAATTCATTTCATGCACGTTATTTACTCTGATCAGAATTCATTCTGCTTTGACCTCGCACGTCCGTGCCCGTACTTTAAAAGAACACATTTTATGTATTGAAGATTACAGATTTGATTTCCTTCCAAGCTGGCAAATGAAAAAATCTCATTTAGCGGCTACCTACGTCGGGCTTACTTCTGCGCAAAGTCGGCAAATAAAAGTTCCAACGCTCTCTAATTACCATTGCCAATATCATTAAAGTCGCGGTACATCGCGTATAACACGACTCCACGGTTCGATCGTGTCTATATTTAATTCTTGAAGTATCGAATACCGAAAACGAAAAAATTTCAAGCCAGCCACGACGATCACACTTCTTCATCGCAGAAATTGAATTCATTGGAACGCCACCGCATCGTGGCACGAATCTACATACATATTGATGACATATTGAAACGATCGTCAGCCGTATTCCTTTTTATCTTTCATTTTTCGTTTTATTGCTCGCCGCGAGATTTGCGTAATTAATTAACGATTGTGACCGCAGTAAGAACGATTCACTATCGAAAAAAACAGAAGAGAACAGCGTGTCCGCACAATTTATTCAGGTTACATTCGGGAGTCGGGCGTAATCCCGTTCGGGCCGGGCGACCTGGCTTCCGAGCGTCATCGCGGGTCTTTCATCGACGTATTTTCGGCATCATGCCACGGCCGAGCTGGCGTAATATGCCCGAAGTGCGTCATAATTAAAACAGCCGAACCGAAGTTCGCGGCGAGCCGTGATGCACTCGCCGAAAACCTGTGACGATCACGGAAGGTACTCGCATCGCTCTAATTCGTGCGCAGAACATGTATACCTCCGGTTACTTCTAATTCCCTATCCATCTACTTGCTCATTTCGTTTTCTGTTGTCCCTGAACCCTACCCAATGTCTTTACTGCGTTTTGTTATTCCGTCTTTTAATGGAACGTATTTTTCTCATGGACGCACTTCTTTTTTTTCGCAAACGTTACCGCTGTCTCGTACCATTTTTATTTCTTGGGACGGCTGTTGTTACGTCTGTTCTTCATTTTCTTTTATTTCGCTATAAGTATTCTCGTGCGTCAGTTGCTGCCCGCGGTATGATTCAAACTGTCGAGGTTCCTTTCGATAGGTAGCTCGTTTTCGAAACGACGCTAATTAACGGCACGTTTTGTTCGTCACGCGAGAACCGTGACTCATTGTTCGCTTCTTCTAGCGTTTTCAGATTATGCGCTGGCTTTACTTTTGTGCCTAGAAGAAGTAAATGTTACTTTTGTTAAGATTGCATAATCTCCAGCTGCGTTCATTTATAGTACACATCGTTGAAACAGTTTAATGACGCGTTTAAACATCGTGGAAAAAATATACCTCCTGTATCCTTCTATCAAGATAACGGGAAGAAAGAACGGCTGGATTGGACCGTAAGCCACTGTAATAAGCTATTAGCGTTATTAGAAAATCTAGTAATAGGATCAGGATAATAGGATTACTGAGATTGGTCTTGAACTGACGCACGTGCGAAATCTGGCGTAGCGCTCGGAAGAAACATACGATTAGTTTGCAGTGGCCAGAGCGTATTTCACCATTAAATGGCCCCATTTCTTATCGCGACATTTATTTCCTCCGTCGATAATTTTAATCCTGTGTAATTCCGTTTCCCACGTGGTACATCTCTACCTCGCGTACGACACATTTGTCCCAAGTCAACCGCCATTTACCTACGCGGCTATCTTATCGATCTGTCATCGATAGAATAATTGCAATGAAAAATAGGCCGGGTCTGGGGCCAACCTGGGTGCCCCCGAAGTTTGCGCGTCCCGGGTTTAAAATAGCGGATCATGTGCATGTTTCGTGCCGCTCATAAATGATTTCTTAAAATAAGTAATCGTGTAGTTTTGCATTTTCTCCACAGGCCGTTTATTTTATTAAACAACGTCGAGGATACTCGCGCGCGCGCTCGATTGGTGTTGAACTTGGAACGCGTCAAAGATCGCGAGAATCTCTTGAAATCATTTTTCCTTTTATTGCTTCACGGGAATTAAATGTTAACTTGATCAAGGACACGACTGGTCAAGTACAATTTTAGATCGTTTACAAAGGTAAAAATATCGTAACAAATCTCTGTGCACATTGAACTTTTTTTATCAGAGCTGCACAGTGCTGTTATATAATATTATATATATACATAGCATTATAATCCAATTGTACAAAAGATAATCTATTGAGAGACCAGACAATCATTTATCACTTGTATTCCCCATCTATCACGACAACGGTTAGCTCCTCTAATTCATCCCAGACACAATAATAAAACGTTTCGCAACGAGACGTTCCGCTATCCCTTCGGCCTTAACCGCTCAACTTTTCAATCATTTTTACCGCTCCGCGCTCATCTCAGTATTTTAGAATCACGCTTTCCATTTCTGCGCAAACAATCGTTCCGTCTCATTCATTCGTACCGCAATAAAATGTGGATCGTTACGGGTCGTTTAGAAACGTTCACGTAATATCGGTGATGAGTCAATCTACGGACTTTTCCATTTTAATGGAACCGATATCCAAAGAAAAGTGGTTTAAA